CGTGGTAGTGTTCTGTGGCTAGCAAAAATCATTTCCTCGCTAAGCTCACGATTATGGCAAAATAGTTGCCGGAAACCGCAGACGACACTCGTCGCTAGTTCTGGCAAAACGGCCGATACAATCTTTTTTTCGCATTTCCCCGCTCGCTGTCAAGGACAAGGGGGTTCGCTTCAACCAGCAAAACATGGCCGCCGACGCCTGTTTACTGAGCAGTTATGCCTGTCGCCATCTCACTCGCTGGCGTCACGGGCGCTAATATCAGGCACAAAGGGGCACACCAACCGGCAGCATTATCCCCAAATACTCGAGCCTCGCGTAAATACATAGAGTGTAAACGCTGTCGCCATGTTATCGTAGTAAGACCGCACCCCCCCCCCCTCCCCCAACGGGGGACTGCAGTACGCGACGGCGTACTAACACAACGGCGACGATATCGACATCGCGGGCTCCGAATTTTCCCATAGTTCTACTCCATGGGCATTTCTCGAAACGCTTGATATTGTGTACGCCCGCCTGGAAGGATTTCAGGCGCGTAGTTAAGATAAGGCGGTTCTCCGCGGCAAAAGAAAGCAATTTCACAAAAGCTTAAAAGCGGCGGCGACGAGTGTGCGGTGAACGCTTGTAGTTTTGGTGTAGACAGGGTGTGTGTGTTCTCGTTGTTGACACCAGCCGGCGATAAGGCACTGCAGGCGGTAGCTCAGTACAGCAAGGGCTAATCCGAGTGACCATCAACGTAACCCCACCGCCAACCCCTCGCGAACCGGTCGCCGACATGGCAAGGTATATGTACATGGGTAGCGAAGCTTCCATAGAAGCCCACATGTCGAAAAAATGGCGGCCCATGGGGCTGTTTTAGCGCCATCTATGAGTCGCGGGGACACTTCCGGCGGAACAAAAAATAAACAGGAAATGACGACACTTCCGGAAAAAACGTGACGTCATGCCTGCGTGCGGTTTGGCGCGGAAATTTAAAATAATTCCAGAGACTACAGGTAAAATGAACGACATAAACACTAAAAAGTCTCAAACATAGCTCCGTGTTTCAGCTTTGTTTGATACTTTTTAGTGTGTATGTCGTTCTTTTTACCTGCAGTCTCGGTTTTTCTTGGGATGTTTACATCTTGTGTTTATACTCGATCGTTTACGCCCTTCTTTGCCCTTGCTCTTATATTTTGTTCGAAACGTTTTTTTCTGCAGCCGACTTTGTTAGCCGACCTGCTATGAGAGTAGTTTCATTTAGTCACACGTGTCTTTGCTCTGTGGTTGAACTCGAGCCGCAGTGTTTTGCCCTTTGTTCCTTCAGGATCCCTCGGAAATATGTGAGAAACCTTAAAGCGAATGACGTAATGTCACAGAAAAGAGTGAATCAAATCGCTGGAGTGTGTTGGGCATATGAAATACACAACAGTAACTCTAATGCAAGTGCAACGTTGTATTAACAGTCGCGCTTTATTTGTTTTATTCACTTACAAACATTCAATCAGATCACTCACTAGAATCATACAATCGGTATCCACTATTTTGGAAGTGTCATAGTGCAAGAAAACTAGTAGATCGGTACATAAGGCACATTATAATATAATAAGACAATGTACAATCGGTTCGATGTTGTGAGGACATTGACAGTTCATAGGCAGCCACTAATAACTCAGAGGTTTCACGGTGTTCCGAGGACAACTGCAATCCCCACTGTAATACACAGAAAAAACAAACTACACTTGTCTACGTGGCTTTTGGGCAAGGTACCATAATGCTGAAAATATTTTAACTTGCATCTGCTGGTGCTGCTACACTGCAACGGAACGATTGTTCGGTGCAGGTCAAGGAAGCCAAGTGGAGTAAACCATCTTGGAGCCCTGTGGTATGCTGCACTTCACAAGCCAGTGTAGCTTCACAGATTTAAGCGCTATATATGTGAATCAGTTAGAAGACTACATTTCTCCTGAAAACCTGAAGAAAATGAAATTACAAATAGAACGTGCCTACACTGCTTTAAATATAGCCTGGGTGGTCTCACGTACCTAGCCTGTGCACTTGCTGCCTCGCTTTACACTTTGCTGCTGCTGTATCAAATAGTTCAACATTTTTTTTCCGCGCGAACCAGTGGAGCCTGACTCTGGCAATTAGAGAAAACAAATCATCATAAACACTTTCGTTGCATACGGTCAGAGACTTTGGAACCTTCTGGTGAAAAAGGACACACAGAGTGCGCCCTACGCTCTCTTTTGAAATTAGGTTGCTGATACTTGTCTCGAAGACTTCCTCACAAGCTGCAACAAATAATCGGAAAGAAGCAGAAGGGACTGAGAGGTTTCCAAAGTCGGTGTCGGCAGTGCCTTTCACACTTAAATACAAGAGCACTTGATTTCCTTCAGAAAAACACGCATTTTCTGTCCTCAGCTCACATTTCTGAGATGTTCCCACACAGGAATGAACCTTGAGGAATTTCGATGCCAGCCACCCAGAAAAATAAACCATGTTGTTCTCTTCTATTGCGGAAGGGTAGTTTGAAGGCGAATCGTCTGCCGTGTCAAGAAAAACTGTGCTCCCTAAGGCAAGAGGAGAAGAAGGTGCCAAAAGGCCTGCTGGGAACGTAGCAAGGAGAGACATCATGTCGTCAGCACAGTTTGATTTTTCCGAGAGTTTGAATAGGTTGCTAATCAAAAGGTGCCTGAACGCAGCCTGAAATTGACGGGAAGTGGAGTTCGTGTTTGCACCGGATTTTGAACGTATAACAGCAAAAGTGTTTTCAAGGGCGTCTTGGTTCAAATGGCGGGTTAAAAGGTAGGAAAAACCGTAATTAACCCTGAGGTGATTGCTGAGCAGCAGCAGTGACCTAATTGTCAAGCAGAAGCCACGAATGCAGTGCGGCTGCCTTCTACACCCGAGTACTTGCAGGCTTTTAAACACCAGAATGCACTCTTCCAGAAACTCCTCATGAATAGAGCCGTCACACATTGCAGAGGCATATGGCGTCTTTGCAAATTTCTGAGAGCTATTTAGGCTGTCAAAGAGACGGTCAATTCTTTCAACAAATCTCGCTGTGTGAACAGCTGTGGCTGGCAATTGCTGAAAAGTAACAAGGGCATACATTGCAGCTGCGCAGTGATTGCTGAAAACTTGAGCTGCTAGCTTCACCGACATCTTTGACGAGAACGTCAAATTAAAATGCTTATCGCTCAGCTTCGGCATAGACCGGATCTCAAGTTTACGGTCCTTTTCATAAGCTTCCTTGATGTAGGAACTTTTCACTAGGTAATCACCAACTTTGAAGTCGTATTTGAACAACATGTTTCTAAGGCACTTCAAAAGGTGCGGAGCATCGAAAAGGAAAAAAAGTGGCTTGCCATTGATCTCTACGTAAGGCTTTTCGGTAGTTACAATGCTTGAAAAAAGAGACACGTTCTGGCTCCCTTGATCGCATACAACAGCTACCGGCTCCAGGCCAGCGTCCACAAGGGCGCTGTAGCACTGGAAAAGGAGATCTTTTAGGACATCTGAAGGTGTGCCTTTGTGAGCAAAAAAATAGCCAAGTGGCTGCTTCCACGGTGTTCCGACTCCTTTTGCCATGAACATGAGAGCCTTGTTTGCCAGCTTTTTGCCTTGCTGTCCACTATGTTCTTCAAGTCCTTCAAACCTGTCAGACGAGGGGTTGTACGAAAGCTCTTTTTTGATGTGCATTTCATCAAACACTATGCTGCAGGCCCGATCGGCTCGAGAAAAAGAAGCTGCCCGCCTCTTTATGAGCTCAAAAATGTCAGGGTAAAATCCAACCCTCAGTGGCACACGCTGAAGCCATAGCTGCAGTGACCTAACTGATGGCAGCCTGAGCATTCGCCTGCAATACCTATAGCCTTTGGGGCTATGAAAGTAGAGGCCTAAAGCCAAGGCTTTGTTGTGGCTGCACCATCTCCGGCCAAACCGGCTCACATTGCTCATTTTAAGTTGGGCTTCAACGAGTGCAGCGACGGCAGGAGACACATGAGCGCGGACACTCTCAACGACTTCGGCCACAGTCCTCATCTGACGTTGTCGTTGCAGCCTTCTTTGGAGCCTCTTGTTGCGCTCTTGAAGCTGTCGCACCTTGGCTCTCATGGCGTTCATCTTCTTCTTGTCGATGCTGCGGCTTTTGCCCGGTGCTGCAATTTGACAAATGACCCAGATCAGGTCTCCAAGAAAAACTTGCATTCGCCACCAATTTATTAAATGTGTAATCCATTCACACTCAAGAATACTCCTCAACGATTTAAAGTGTTTTTAAACAAGAACATCAAGTATGACAGACTACACATATGCAATTCAAGTTAAGGATAGCAGCACATCTTTATGTCGGTCTAGGCGTTTCATGCTGGCCAGAGACCTGATAGTCCAAAAAGACAAGGGCGCACACAGAAGCATGCAAGTCAGAATAAGCATCCAAACTGTGAAATGCATTTTCTTAAAGCTTGACCATACCTTACTTACGCCCATGGCATAAGTAACAGTGAAGCGCTCGCAAAAAAAAAAAAAGGCAACTAAGGTTTGTCAGGTAAGACAATGGACCATGACAGGCTCAGCATCACACACATGTGACCAGGGCAGCTTTTTGATAACTATAAAAACACTGTCTTACGTGAGGTTTTGCGGAAAGACTTATGAATCAGTGAAACCGGTTGAGCTCTTTTGATCCGATAGTGTTAACACCTGCGTGAGGAACATTTTTTGTCTTTTTGTGTGCTTGACGATGACAATACCATGAAACACAAAAATACGGTAAACTTTGAACAAACTTCGATTTGTAGCTGCCGGCTACCCGGTCTTGTGTTATGTGACCCCTTGCGCCATCAGCTGTCAAGATAAAGTTTAGTATCCGCTGGTGTTTTTCGAGCCTTGGCTTTTTTATTTTTGTGGTCTTACCTTTAATAATTTAAGAAAAAAAAAACTGCAAAGAAAAAAGTTCGCATCATAGAAAGAACTCACATTTGTGAGAAGGCCCAGCAGCACAGCCAGAGAGAGAGTTTCTAGACGACGGTGAAGAAACCAAACTCTCCAAGTCAGCCACGTCCCCGCTGGACTCTTGAGCAGGAGCAGCATCTTGAGGTAGAGCGTAGCTGTGATCAACTGCAAACAAAATGAAATAAATAAAGGCTTTTACAAAAAACAGTATTGTAAGAAAGGAAGTTCAAGAGAGCGGAAAGTTGAGCGAGTTGGTTGTTCATCTTAGCTGGCAGAAACAGTGCCTCTCTGTGTACTTTTACAGCGCCTGTCTGTATACTCCTTGTTTCTTGTCCTTCTGCGCTCTTTTTACCAACTAAGAAAGCAAGCTCACAAAAAAGAATGGGACTAAAAGGATAGCACAAACAATATTCGGCCACCACTTACTATGGGCCCCTAGTGGACTATTCTTCAGTACGGTGCACGAGTATGTGTGGTCCAACGGAGCCGCAGAAATCCGCTCTGCAAATTTAATGTGAATTTAGCGAAGGAGAAGAGGAAGTCCTCCCTTATTCCCCTATTTGAACGCATAAAAAGGAAATTCACCTGCGTTCCATGACAGGTTTATTTCAGAAGACTGGTTGTCAGGGTGACCGCAGAAACTCCACCAGTCTGAGCGGCCGGAGTATGTGCAGCTCGATGAGGCTGGCGAACTGCTCTCTGCAAAATTAGCGTGAAGTTAGTCATGGAATAGTAGTTGAGTTCCTTCCTATGTGTCTATTCTAACACATGACAAGGAAAATCACCTTGTTCCCACGAAAGTTCCACCTCAGAAGACTGGTCGTCAGGGTGACCACAGGAACTCCGCGAGTCTGAGCGCCCCGAGTACATGCAGCTCGATGAGGCTGGCGAACTGCTCTCTGCAAAATTAGCGTGAAGTTAGTCATGGAATAGTAGTTGAGTTCCTTCCTATGTGTCTATTCTAACACATGACAAGGAAAATCACCTTGTTCCCACGAAAGTTCCACCTCAGAAGACTGGTCGTCAGGGTGACCACAGGAACTCCGCGAGTCTGAGCGCCCCGAGTACATGCAGCTCGATGAGGCTGGCGAACTGCTCTCTGCAAATTTAGCGTGAAGTTAGTCATGGAATAGTAGTTGAGTTCCTTCCTATGTGTCTATTCTAACACACGACAAGAAAAATCACCTTGTTCCCACGAAAGTTCCACCTCAGAAGACTGGTCGTCAGGGTGACCACAGGAACTCCGCGAGTCTGAGCGGCCCGAGTACGTGCAGCTCGATGGGGCTGGCGAAATGCTCTCTGCAAATTTAACGTAAAGTTAGTCATGGAATAGTAGTTGAGTTCCTTCCTATGTGTCTATTCTAACACACGGCAAGGAAAATTACCTTGTTCCCACGAAAGCTCCATTTCGGAAGAATGGTCGTCAGGGTGACCAGAGAAGCTCCGTGACTCTGAACTGCCCAAGTATGTGCAGCTCGATGAGAGTGGCGAACTTAGCTCTGCAAATTTATGGTGAATTCACCTATTTTAATACAAAATGAAAATCACTTTCTTTCATGGGCAGCTTTATTTTGGAAGACTGGGTGGCGGCATGGCAAAAGATGCTCTGTGGACCGATATTGACGTTGATTATATCACCTCAAATAAAACATGTCATTATTAACGGGCCTGAAATGAACTTCTAGCAGTCCCTCTGACCATGTTCTACCAGCTGTTTCCAGCTAATTTCACCTAGTCTTATTGCAAAATGCTCAGGTCATGAAGACCACGAGGTAATGCAGTAGTGATGGCAGTTGCTGCTACTTTATGTTAGTTACAGTGAAAAAGCTCACCATGCACACCTGCAGAACCAGGAGAGCTTTTGCTGGAAATGTCCCCACGCGTCGTCTCTGCAAACAATATAAAAGTGTTATGAGCCCACAGAAGCAATATTTCAGCCCCATGTGGCTGAAATATTTTACTATTTTTCTAAGAGCAGGTTAACCATGCTTAGTCACAAAGTTGCAAGTTAGCGCTCTTTCCTGTCTCTCGTTTTTCCCTCCGTCGTCCTTGCGCTATTTTTAATTATGCACGGAAAGTTTATTGGTCTGCTTACCTTTTGTGGGAAGAACACTTGGCAACGCATTGTGACGGAGGTGTCCAGGCCGCAAGAAAGCCGACTCCTCGAAATGTAATGAGCAAACTACCCTGTCTCGTAGCTGCCATGGAGTCTTCCCCTGTAGACTTCGGTTGTTGCAAAACCGAACCCAGACTTCGCGCCTGCAGATAAGGCATGGTGTTATGTGGGTCAATATCATCTGTTGGGCTAGTTGGTTAGACATGATCAGATAAAATTAGCGCAAACGACAAGAGAAGAGAAAGGTAAGACAGGACAGGACAGGACAGGAAAGACAACCTAGGGCGCGGGCGTATTTTCGTTGGGTTTTCCTCTTCCTTTTATTTTTTAAAAATGCTTCACTTCCTTCTTGTCTTTTCTATTAAAACGTCAGTTGTGAGTAGCGCTCTGTCCTGTCCTGTCTTACCTTTCTCTTCTCTTGTCGTTTGCGCTAATTTTATCTGTTATGTGTGTGCCGTGAATACTTAGGAAAAAGAAATGTAGCCAAAATTCCCACAAACCAAAGCAAATCAGAGCAAGGACATTAACAAATGCATGACATCAACGCTCTGTATACATTTTGAAGAGTAAAAATGCGAGACTTATGCACAGATGGCCTACTATATATCTGTGCTGTACCACTGATAACCACGCCTATGATCACGACATTAGGCTCCTCAGAGCCAGGCCGGTAAGGTAAATTTGAATATCGTGGGCACTTTTATAATGACAGCACACAACGCAGTGAAGTCAGGGTGATTTTGAAGTTGAAACATTCCTAGTATAACATATTACGGCTTCAGGTGTAGTTTCTTGTGCACATCCAGACAACCCTAATAGTTTTAGGTAAAACTACCTAGAGTTGAGAGAAGACCGAACAAGGGGGCATGACATCACACAGCAGGCATGTTACTGACAGAAGCGAAATCTCACCTTCGAGAGTCGAGGGGAAACCGGTGCAGCGAGACGCCAGCCGTGCGGGTGTCGCTTTCACACACTTCCACGGAGCACCGTTTCTTCGCGTATCGCGCTGTGCTCATCGTCGCAAAGGACGTTGAGCCCCTTGGACGCAGTAGCGTCCAAGGTCTAAGCGCGCGACTGCCGAGTTCCCGCGCAAGTAACTGGGCTAATCACGCCCGAGCAAACAAGAAAACTTCCCAAACGGAGTTAGCTGCCGCTAAAACAATTAAAAGCGTAGAGCACGTGGAGGCCCAAACACAAGCAAGCAGACGGACGTCAGCAGCCTGCCTTTCCGCGCGCCACGAGGTCTACAAAGAACCGCAAATATCGCTATTGCTTGCCGGCCTTTTTGCTAGTGGCGTACAGAGGACGCTAATAAGAAGTACGCATAATATTAGCAAAAACAAAGACAGATTTGAATTTCGTAGCGCGCCAAATATGACTGATAATATCTAATAATTATATTTAGCTTGTATAAAAATACAAATGATTATACTTCTAGTCACAAACTAATAAATTTTAATAATGTTTGTCCCCCCCTCTCCTAGTCGCGCTTCAATCGCATCCTTCACGTGACCCTCCACGCCGATGTCGCTGGCGATTTGTTTTGAACCGCTTTTTGCCCGAAGCTTCGCTACCCATGTGCATATACCTTGGACATGGCTCAGGCTGTGTCATGAACCACGTGGTAGAAGCTCGGGTGCTTTCATATCAGCGCGTGGAGGGACGACAGTGCGATTCCGGAAAGTCTTTTTCGAAGGCCGCTGACCACAATTTTTTGTCTGGAGACTTTCCCTCTTTCTTCCTTTGACGTGGATCAAGCTTTGCCGACAGCCTCAGTTGTGACCTCTCTTTTCAAATGTACGTTTGCAGTGAGTGAGCTCCTCAGCCTCGGACTTGTCACTTGTGCACCCAGTAGTTCTTTCACTTGGCAATTATATGCCATCAGTTGGGGTTTAATTTCTATTATTTATGTATACATTATGAAGACGTCCTGGAGCTCCGAACGAGTGTTTTGTGCAGATTACTTTTGCAAACACAAAAAGACTATACCAAAGCAGCGGAATTTTCGAAGTGTTGGCGAGTTGGACCTAAACTCGTTGAAGCAAATTCTTCCGCCTGACTGTTCCACCAAAGTGAGTGCGACGGACTACCTGTGCTACCACTGCTTCATGCACATCACTAAGGAGATCTCGATGCGAAGCTCAGAGCAGTGCCCTGAGATATTTGTGCCAGCTGAAGAAGCAATTGAAGATCTAAATCGCAGCATACTACCTACAGATGTGTCGCCGCTGAGACAACCAAGCGTCGTAAGAAGTCTGGACAGGCCTGCCTATGTCAAGAGAAAGCAGACAGAACTGGAGCAGGTTACTGTCAAGAATATACGCTCAAGGCTACGTATTGCGTACGACAGGGACGCACCATCGGGGTCGTCCGAACCAACATGCTCCACATGCACTGAGTGGGTGGACAACTTTCGGCAGGCCTTTGAAACCGCCACCTCTCTCCGGGAACGTTGTCAACTGCTTACACTCCTGCCGTCAACACTGACGAAGAATGAGGTTCAAAAGATGATTCCACAGGCCTCAATGTACCTCATCAGTAAATCCCGAAAACTCAAGGAAAAGCATGGCGTGTGGTATGAGCCGGATCCTTACACGAGGTGCAAGGTGAGCCCTGAGAACCTGTCTGCTGCCCTAGAGTACTTCACGAAAGACGAGCTACAATGTTCGTGCCAAAGTCCCAACCAGAAGGACGTCATCTCTGTCATGCTCAACGGAGAGAAAACGTTCGTGCCAAAGCGCTTCATGACACGCTCAATACGAGAGGCCTTCCGTATATAAAAAGACAAGCATCCCGATTCCGGCGTTGGGCTAACGAAATTTTATTCGTTGCGCCCTAGATGGGTCCAATGTATTCCACACCAGGAAGTGTGCGTTTGTGTGCGCTGCGCCAATTATTATCTTTGTATTGCCGCTCTAGAGAACGTTACAGGCTCAACATGCAACACTGGTGAAATGAACTCGGCATCTCTGTGCGACCCAGCAAGAGAACTGTGCCTTCAAGGAGACTGTGATCACTGCCCAAAAGGCCAGTTTCTTACACTCCAGGAACTTGATATCCCGGAGGATGAAGAGATTGTGCTTGCAACATGGGACTCCGGCGACCTTGTGAAAAAAACTTTGGAACCTGAGACTTTCCTAAAAGTCATCCAAGTGACGGTTGGAAGTTGGGTACTTCACAACCATATCCGGCAAACGCAAGGTAAAGCGATCTACGATGAAAAACAGTGCATGCAACGCGGGAGCATTGTCTTTCATTTTGACTTTGCTGAAAACTGGACCATCGTGCTTCATAACGAAGTGCAAGCACATCACTCGAAAAAAAACAAACAAGTTTCGATATTTACATGTGTAGTGACGACAAGAAAATCTACAAGCAGCTTTGCCATCATCAGTGAGGACCTGTGTCACGACGCCACTCACGCTTGCTTGGCTCTAGAAAAAGTGAAGGAGTGGGTTGAAGACAACGTTGCGGTATACTCGTAGTGACGGCGCCGCCAGTCATTTCAAGAATCGCTACCAGCTTCACCAATTTGCAAAGGACGATTGCCCACAAGCCCAGTGGTTATTTTCTGCATCTGGACATGGGAAAAATGCATGTGACGGAGTTGGCGGACTCGTGAAACACCAGGCCACGCTGAACAACCTGAGAGAACGTTCAGTAAGCGCAATTCAGACGGCCAGGACAATGGTGAGCGTTCTATCAAAGAAACTGAAAGGCGTGCATCTTGTATATCTGGACGAAAATGAGGTTGTTCGATATCGTGAACAAAAAAAAAAAAGAAGAGTGGCTGACGGTGCGCGCCTTCCCTGGCATTCAGTCTTGGCACGCGTGGCGGCTCAGCAAGTCATCAACAGAAGGGACCTGTGACGTATATGTAGCACGGACAGCCGGATCTGCTTGGAAGCAACTTTATTAAATGGGTACAGCGAGGAAAACCTTAGCGTAAAGTGCCGAATTTGATTTCCCAAGGACTGCTCATTTTGAATGCAGGGACATCTTATTTATCACATTTTTCTTCACGGGGTATTTAACCTACGGTTTTTGTTGGTGGTTACTAATAATTTTTATCTGATCACTATAAAAAAAATCCCCAAATGTTATCCTCGAGCAGGATAAAATATATCGGCTTGCCACGATTCATTCATACACCGAGAGCATTGAAGCTGCTCCAGTTAGGCACTATGGCATCCGTCACCTGAAATTGTTTGTAATCGTAAATACACAGCCAACCTAAATATCTTACTATTATATCTTTGTTTTTGTGTGTGGAAGTAAAGTTATTTATTTTACTCTAGATGTAAAATATACCGGAAGGTACAACTTCACACTGCATCATCTTTTCTCAAATCATTAGTCTCTAATATGATACCACTTTGTACGCTTATGTAAAATGCTGTATATAGTTTTTCCTCCCTTTTACTGTCTGACCGATCCCTCTTTTTATCAATGACCTCATCTGAATAAATTTATATAAAAGATTTGTGCAAGTTTCATGAAACTGGAACTCAGAGTCACTTCTTGTATAGGACACCTCTAAGTGTAGGCTTTGAAAAAGGACCCTACTTTGGGGAGTTGTTTCTTCTTTCACAGTGCAATGATGCAACATGTTTTTAATAGAAATGAATGCCGAAATAAAGTATAACAGGGTACCCAAATTTAAAAAAAAAATCGAAGGTGGTGTTTTTTTTTAATTCGCATTGGAATTTTTCTTTGTTTGATTTTTTTCCCATGTTTGCCTAAATATATTGTAACTATTGTGTCACTCAGATACCTTATTTATTTTTTCAATAATAGCCATATATTAGTAAAATAATGTCTGCAAGTTATGTAATAATGATTAAATTATTTCATGAGATACAGATTTCCAAATTTTGCCATTTGTCGTTCGAGCAGGCATGTTTGGCAATTTTTAGAAAACTAAATAAATTTTTAATAAATAATATTACTTTATATTACAAGCAAGCTGTACCCATAGTTTGTTTGTAAAAAGTTTTAAAATGCTCCTGATTTTATTGTTTTAATTATTCACTTTCAAACTTGCCCCCTCCATCAGTGCGCGTTATTGCAACTGTCCACCTCTCCCTGCCTTACGATTTTTCTTCTCTCCAAATTTTTTTTCCTGGTCAAAACTAAGTGTGGATTCGTTTATACCAGACACTAGACAATGTAATATAAAAACATCAGTTGATTTAAAAATGTCGACCAGCCACCCTTTGGTCGATCTTATCTGAAATCACCCTGAAAATTTATTGGAGTTCTTTTTAAGTCCGCGTTTGGTTTTATATGTGTTCTATAAGCTATAGCCTGCAACTTGTAACCCAGAAGGTGATTTTACTATTCTAAGCGACTATTTTTTTTATGCAGTTGTAGATTAATATGATCGTCTCAATTTTAATATTACTTAAATGATGGCCCACGTAACTTTAGTTTCGTGACCCACTCAAGGTTCTTCTTGAAACAAAAATGACCTTTGATTACCTAAGTCAGTAGTTCTCAAGTGGGCGTCCGCGTAGCCCTGCCTCGTCAGTCAAGCCCGGCAATAGAAGCTGCCTCTTTCACATTGAGAAGAAACGTTCCAATTTCTGGGCGACCTCTCTCGTGTCTATATCATTGAGATAAGTCTACTTCAAAATAGCAATTGTTTATATTTATTTATTGAATCATTATCATTATTCACCTATACCCTTCTATTCCCCTCCGCCTGAATGGGGTCCTCCATCATCTCCGCCTATCTACAAGGGGTCAGCGAAACATCAGAGGTTGAGAACCACTCACCTAAGCTATAAGCCTCTCATTCGACCGTTAAAATTATGGGTTGGGGACAGTTGTAACTTTTCCTCGCTTCATATTTTGACAATAGTTTCTTGACGTGTTAGCTAAGAGAAATTAACTTGGAAAGATGATACATGAGAACTTAAGCAGCTGTTTCTTTAATTTGTTTTTTCATTTTAATTCAAATATTTTGTCTGCCTTACCTGGTCGACTTCGCGAACTGCGCTATGTACAACCAAAAATGGAACTTAATAATTATAACACACAGATCGCATCAAGAGCTAATAGTACACGTTAACGTTGTACAATTGAACGAAGTGAGCGGTTGTCAATACCCCTAAAAAACTAAAAACAAAAACACGACAGGATAGGTGCTTTTTTTAGCAGGGTCCTTGGTCTGTTGCTCTGGCATCTCCCTCCAACTGGAACCACTT